AATTTGTGGCGCCATCTAGCGGCGAAACTGCGAACTAAACTAAAAAACCGTAGCCCGTACACGCGTTGAGGAAAAATATAAAAAGTAATATTTCGCAACTTTGACGAAGAAGTATGCTTCCTTAGACATTTTAAACCAATTTTTGTTCAATAAGTTAGTCATTTTTTGCCCTATTAAGTTCAGAAAATCAATTTTTATTTGACCTCTTTACTGCGTGTTCGGACATACGGTTTTTCAGTTTAGTTCGCAGTATCGCCGCTAGATGGCGCCACAATTTTTCTCCATAAAATGACATTTTTTTTATTTTCTTTATTAAAGCTTTCAGGAAACTTTTATTGCTTTATTTTGCTTCTAATGCGATCACATAACACTTTCTGAGCCTCAGAAGTACTCAAAGTTCGCAAATTTTCGAGAAAATCGCATTTTTATGTTTTTGTAGTTCCAACTTTCACCGCTAAATGGACGCCAATTTTTTAGTCCACGTTTTGACCTTTTTTTTAATTTTCTTTTCTCGCGCTTTTAGGAGGTACTTGTTACATCATATAGGTTCCAGAGAGGTCACTGCGGCATTATATAGGTTTTTGAGAGGTCGCAGAACAATTTCTGACCCTCAGAAATACGTAAAATTGCCTAATTTCGGAGAAAATCGAAATTTTAGTTTTTCGTAGTTCCGCCTCTCGCTGCTAGATGGCCCCACCTGTACCGTTTTGCACCGGATTCGACAAAAATTGATTTCCTGGCTTTATTAGGCATCAAAACGCATCAAACCCTAATAGAAATTTGTTTCTAAATGCCTCAGGAACCATACTACGTCGACAAAGTGCCGAAATATTTATTTTTTTATTTTCCTTATATGTGTGTTCGGACCCTCACTTTTTAGGATCAGTTTTTTCGGTGATTATTCGTTCGTGGCAAGTCGGATTAAAATTTTTTTTTTCTATGTCCATCTGGATGTACATGCGCGTATGCATGCAAAATTTGACGAGAATTGGTTGAGCCGTGCAAAAGAAAAACGCGGACAAAGAAGTTGCAAAGTCAAGTATAAGAGCTTCGCTCGCCTTCGGCTCGCTCGCTCAATGATAAGTCAACTCCACAGCGCTAGAGTCTTATTTTAGTCTAAGTCGATAATGTTGCAAGCGACATGAAAAAGGGACTCACGGAATATATTGCAAACAGTATAAACTCAATGTTAATAAACATATAACAAATATATAGCATATTAATCAATAAAATCAATATTAATTGAATTTTTACAAAAATGGAACGAGTAGCGCCATCTCGTCGGCGAACAAGGTGAACTACACAACAGTGTTGGGCAGTCGTGAGATTTTATCTCACGCGAGAGCTTTATGCGCATGCATCAGCTGACCTCACAGCTTGCTGCCAATGCCGTACCTAGCCGGTACACGCAGTGGTGACTGATGAGGGCGCCTTAATGATCCTACATAATTTTTCAAAAATTTTTA